GCAAAATTGAATTTTTTTTATCGAACAGTTTCATTTAATTCACTTAATTAGGATGCTAATTTTTAATTATATTCTAATTTGGAGTTAGCAACTTTGAAGATATTTTAATGTAGTTTCCGAATATGTAAATTTTAATTATTAAAAATTCAGTTAATTAGCAATAGAGAGGATTTAACTTTAACAGTGATTGACCAAAAACTATTGACTTTGCAAATCAATTTAGAACGGATGTTTACAACAATTCTCTTACACTAAAAAATGTGAAACCAGACATGCTATTTGAAATAATGTAGGGATTCATATGTTTTGTATGTTTGTTAGTCAATTAGAATTATGTAGAGACAAACTTTTTCTCACATCCAAGTAAATAGTCTTATATGGTTACTGAGCAAGTCTGTTAGAATGCAAGTTTGAAAATTTAGGATTTAATTAATAAAGCGGCAGAACTAATGCATAGATAACTTTCCCTCGGTTTTGTTATCAATTCACTGCTAAAATTAGTATTTAACTGCACCAATTTAACTACACCTACTAGAATAGTAATATCACTGATGGTACTAATAATATTATTAAAAATAACAACAATAATAGTTTTTTAAAATATTTGGTCACCCCCTCCTGAATCACCGTTGTTCCAAGAAGTTGAGATCACATGGACTGATTTCTTTCCGGTGGCTGGTAGAAGCGAAATAAATTCTACACTTGGCTTCTTACCGGTGGATGGACAAATCGGGATGTTTAATACGAAGTAGTTTGTTTGAGAATTATATATTGTGATCGTAGCAGGAACCGTCGACCTAAATGTAGAGTATTTCTTTGTGGGATTAGCGATTCAGCTTTTTCAATTTGAATCGTCTGTTTATATGTCTCACCTCATTGTAACTTTGAGTTATATGATTGTAGTTGTTATTGGGCATTTTCCCGATCGCGCAACGCGCGTCACGTAACTAGTATATATATATATATACATATATATTTCGGGGTTATGTGGAACTTACTTAGCATTGTTGCTAATTTTGTTTCTTTGTGTTTTTCTTTCTGTACTTGTTTTGTACATGGATGAATTGATGAAGATGTTTATTTCGAAAAGAGCTTCCGCTAGAACACCAAATTAGTAAATAGCTGTAAATATATTTTCAGCATCTTAAATTAGTGAACATTTATTTTAGAAGTTTAAGTTATTTTGAGTTAAATTGTTTTAGCTTGTGCACTCGGTTAGGTTAGAACCGAGTGTGGCGGTAACACCTCTATTTCCCTTTTGTATTTCCGCTATACAACTCTGATGTTTTCAAATAAAATTAATAAACAATGTTTTATTTAAAGGTATTTTAGGTGGGAAATTTGGGGGTGTTACATTATTATCATCATTATCATTATTATTATGATTATTGTGATTATTATTATTATGATTATTACTATTATAATGATCATTTTTATGATTATTTTTATGATTATTAATCATGATTAAAAATAATTGTAATCACGATTATAACTATAGAAATATAAATTATATATTATAATCACGGTTATAATTATATGAATAAGTATAATTTAAAATATAATTATGATTATAATTATAGATATAATTATAATTAGTGTAGTAAGTATAATAATAATTATACCTATTATAATTTTAATTTTAATTATATCTTTTTATAATTATGATTATAATTATATTTATAATTATAATTATAATAAATATTCAAATCAGCTCAGATCACAAAGATTCATATTTGTTCAGAAGGATTGAGATCAGATTAGACCGATTAAGATCAGAAAGATTCGGATCAGATCAGAAAATTTCATATCAAATCAGATCAGAACTTAAAAAATTCAGATACAAACATTCAGATTAGATGAAGAGAACAACTTCTAAGTGATCTAGCTAATGATTTAAATAAATCATACAAGCTGAAAGTTAAAGATAAAAAAAATGTAACACTTATTATTTGAGGAGATCCCAAAAAGAATAATAAGACAAATTAAATGATATGGATGGAGATTTGAAACTCCAAGGTATAGTGAGACGAAGTAAAATATGAGACAAGAGGGAAATAGATTTTGGCAATAAAAGATTTTTCATTTTCTTTCCATCATACAATTATTAGAAATTGCCCTAAATAGGAGTAAAAACGCTTTGAAATTTCAAAATAGGAGTATCATGTTTTTTATTCCTTGAATTAGAGTAATCTGCCAAGTTTGAAAAAAAAAATGTCATGTTTAAAAGCCTAATAATGCTAAACTTAGCAGAAATTTACTCATATTTAGAGAATAAAAAACATGATAGTCCTATTTTGGATTTTTAAAACTTTTTTGCCCCTATTTAGAGAATTTACTCTACAATTATGTACCCCTTCTCCATTCTTTATGACTTCGCGAATTTTATTTTTATGATCGTCTCACAATTTTTTGACTATCCCATTTTAATGAATTAAGTCTAATGAATTTGGAGGGCCTAGTTCCAAATGAAGAATTGAGGCATCCTAAATCAAGAAAAATATAAAATTTAACAATGAATACAAATAGACTAGACAATTTAATAAAATACTACAATATACCCTTTGAAATCTTGAATTAGATGTTTAAAGCACACATTTTAGAGAATTTAAAAGTTATACTCCGGTATACCCTTTGAAATCTTGAATAATACATAACATTTTAAAAAATCAACATATAACTAATACTACATTCTAATTTTTTTGGAGGTCCGCTCAAAGAGTGGGCCCAGTGCTAAACACCTATTGCACCTCCTAATTTTTACTATTATTTTACGTGTTGTTATTGGAGAACTAGTTTTTTTACCCGTGCGTTGCACGGGATATAAAAGCTATTTTATTTTATTTTGTAGTAATTTATTTATTTTTCTAAATAAATGGATAATGTTTGTATTTTAGTTTGAATTAAAAAGTTCTCAATTTTACTTAATGTGGACTTTGTCAGTCTACTATTGTCTTTAAAAATTTTAAACCAAATGCATTCAGGACTCTAGATACAGGCATACAGCGGCGTAAAATTGTTCATGGGTGAAAACCAGCCATTGTAATAATATCACCACATTTTCAAATGGCTGTCCCTTACACAAATATCCCTAGATTAATATTTTGAACAGATATAAACCTTAAACCCTTGGAATCGAGAGAAAAAAAAAAATTAACAGAACCGGGTTCGGAATCAGGATAGGATTGCCCGAGGGGCTAAAATCGGCCTGACATTGGAAATAACCGATTAAGACTCGGTCTTCACTGAAATTTGGCAAGGACCTGGCAGCCTCAGCTTAGAACCAAGACCGGACCATCCGGGTGCATGCTTACACAATCGAGATGATTGGTCTAGATTTCTCATAAGCATCACAAGCCTCATAAGTTTCTTTGCGGATAGTTCACGTATAATTCATCAAACGTATAATTCGCTTAAAATATTCCTGTTTATGATTTTTTTAATTCGGAAAAATTCATACTACCTCCGTCCCAAATTGATTTACAAATTTGACTTTTCTTGGTCAAATAGTTTCATTTTATTTGCTTAATTAGGATGTCAAATTTTAATTATATTCTAATTTGGAGTTTGCAACTTTGAAGATATTTTAATGTAGTTTCTAAATATGTAAATTTTAATTATTAAAAATTGATTTAATTATCAATAGGGGGGATTGACTTTTATAATATTTTGACCAAAAAAATGTTGACTTTGCAAAACAATTTAGGACAAAGAGAGTATATTTTAAGAACAAAATGTATAATACATGTACAGTATAAACTCATACATATTTTATTCTAATGGAGTTGCACGACCGAAGTGAAAGAATTGAGGGTCCGGTTCCAAATGAAGAATTGAGGCCTCCTAAAACAAGAAAATTATACATAGTATTATTTAACAATGAATACAAATAGACTAGATAGTTCAATACAATATACATTTATGATGTTCAAAGCACACATATTAGAGAATTTAAAAGTTATACTGTGGTATACCCTTTGAAATCTTGAATAATACATAACATTTTAAAAAATCAACATATAACTAATACTACATTCTAAATTTTTGGAGGTCCCCTAAAAGAGTGGATCCCAGTGCCAAACACCAATTGTATGAGCTACGGATTTTCTTCTTGTATAAATTTTAGGCACACAATTTTTTACGACGGAGTATTATTTTACGTGTTGTAATTGGAGAATTAGATAAGTACATGGCTCCATAAATTTTTGCAATTTTAGTCGTGTACAAAAAAGCGTACCTTATGTAAAAAGGAAAAAAATTGGAGAAAGTATCCTAGAAGTAAACATGTTTTATAATTCAAAAACAGGATTGATACGTTTCTCATTCAAAAATAAAAGTCATTACTGTATAATTGAAAAATATTATTATTAATGACAATGAATAATGCATAATACTGTAATTGTTTGACAATAATGACTTACTTGATGACGATAAATAATGTGACGTTACTTTTATTGTTATTAGAAAAATATAAACACTCCCTCCGTGCCGAATTGAATTGCAAACTTTGATCGGCACAAGGATTAAGAGATGACAATAAATGATGCTTGCTTTTTACGTTTTTGCCATTTTTCTAAAAGTAGATGTCTTTAAATTAATGAGGAAAAAGTTAAAGTAAGGATAAATTGGTCATTTTATTCTTATTTACATACCTAAAATAGAATGTGGAAAACCATTTTGGGACAAACAAAATAGGAAATTTTGCAAATAAAATTGAGAACGCGGGAATACAACAATTCAAGAACTTCCAAAAAAATGAGAAGAATATAGAAATTGCCTTAAATAGGAGTAAAAACGTTTTGAAATTCCAAAATATGAGTATCATATTTTTTATTTCTTGAATAGGAGTAATCTGCCAAATTTTGAAAAAATGTCATGTTAAAAGCCTAGTAATGACAAACTTGTCACAAATTTACTCCTACTTAGGAAATAAAATACATGATACTCATATTTTAGAATTTCAAAACTTTTTTAATCTTTTAAATATTGATAAGTGGTGGGGCGGCGCCTGCTGATGGTCACATCCTTCAAGAATGGTGGGCGAGTTAGGTGAAGAGATCACAGTGAAGGGCCAATACTTGAAGAAACCGTTAATTATTAAGAAGCCCAAAGAAGAGAGAATTGAGAAGAAAAAAAATGGAGATGTCAGAGGATGTTGTCATCATTGGTGCTGGAATTTCTGGTCTTGCTACGGCTCTTGGACTTCACAGGTATTTCCTTTCATAATTTCTCTTCACTCTTCCCGCTTAGATCTCCTTAATTCAACTTAGGGATTGTAGGGTAAGAGTGACATATAGGGATTTTTTTCGCATTTTTAGCACCGTATACTCTTGGAAGGGGTAGTCTAATACTTTTTTTATTCGATCATTTTGAGAAAATGAGGTGAGACAAGTAAACTCAAACGTGGGGCAAGTAATATAAAAAGGATGGATTAATATTTTTAATGTTTTGGATGCCTAAAGTATTAGGTTTTATTAGTCAAATAGATTGGTATAAATTGAGTTTAAAGAAAAAAATGGCTTTGTTAAAATTACCATTTTCAGATGCAAGAAAACTTTGTTTCTTCTTTTTTATTTTAAAAATAAAAAAGATTATAGGTTCCATCTAAGGACCGTAAACAGTAAAACAGGCAAGCCTATGCTGTTGTTTTGGTTGAGAAGAGAAGCTTTTCAAATGGACTGAGTGAGCTCAATCTTTTCAAATTACCAAAATTATGGCTGAAATTATGGGGAAATTTTTTTAAATATGTTTCATTTATAAGATAAAATAAATTTATAAAAAAGATAAATAGTCCAACCGATTCAACCAGAAAAGTAAAAATTCATTCTTACTATATTCATTATTACAAAGTTCTGCGTAAGAAATCAAAATTTAGTCTTTGATAAAGAAGTTGAAGCTGAAAAAGATATTGCCAAGCCAGAACTAAATTATAAATGTTCCTCTTAGAATCTTCAACAACCGTGTACTAATAAGGGATGTTTGGAATAGGTTATGGTTCCACTTCTTTTTAAAAAGTTGAAGCAGAATCAGAACTTTGTATGGCTTAGTGTTTGTTAATTATTATTATGCTATATGAAATAGAGAATCAATTTAAAATGTTTAGAGCTGGATCTTGTAAATTCCCTTTCTTGTAGAGTACCAAAAAGACGCTGTTTATTGATTATATATACAAGTAGTCTGTTCTAGACTTGTAGATTCTCAAAAATTGTTTGTGGGCAGTAGTATGAAGTAGAGTATTAGAAAAAACACATGTATCATTATTGACGGAAATGACATAAGAGAGGCACCTTTGCCTTGAATGAATGGTATGGTATTAATTAAGATGGAGACTCATGGTTTAAGTTTGAATGTCGGAGGTTAGGGAGGGGGTGAGGAGCTTAGTGGTGGAGTCATCAGAGGGCTTAAGAAACACAGGGTTCGCGCTTTCATTGTGGACAAATGGGTGGAGGGCACTTGACGCGCTTGGAATTGGAGATTGTCTCAGGCAACACTCCCTCCAGATCAGTGAGTAAGTAGCTCTGCTCTGTCTTCTTCTTCTCACTGAACATAAGCACCCTAGTTTGTTGTGCTTGTTGTTGTTGTTGTTTACCCACATACATGATGAACACACACCCACACATATACTCCTCTTGGTTGTCGATTTAAAGAAGAAAAATATACTGGAACTGCAGGTACCAGGTTTTCTCTGCAGACTCCGGGCATCCCACTGCTGCCGTACCACTGCAGTTGCACAAGAATCAGTGAGTGAGTGAGTTAGATTGAGATGTAAATCTCTGTTTGACTTACTTGTTATTATCTGCTTCGATCTTATTCATACCAGCCCCATTTTCTTCTTAGCAAGCATTGACTCATTCAACTACGATGATTAAATCACCTGTTAATTAATTTAAAAAGTGTATGGAAAACTTTTTTATAATTTGTAGATCATAGAGAGTTCAAATATGCTCAAGAATTGAAGTCAACCAAACTGTAAAACACAAACATGATTGCAAATGCCTTTTATTCTGATAATTAATTAATAGGATTTTCGAGAGCCGCTGCTTGAGAAGGAAATTGTTACTGGAGACATTAAACAAAGAGCTGCCTCCAGCAACCATACGGTACTCCTCAAAGGTTGTTTGGATTGAAGAATCTGGAATGTTCAAACTGGTTCATCTCTCAGATGGGTCCGTTATCAAAGCTAAGGTAAACTAGCTAGTCATTCAATCTGTATATTATGTATATTATATTGGATTGGATGAACACTGAAGCTAGCACAGAAAATTTGACTCTTTTTTTAGTGAAAGTTGCTTATGTAGTAATTATGCCATCCTAGATTAGTAAAAATATAAATAATCGTTTAAGATTGACAGACCTAATAGAAGATAAAAACTCAAAAAATGCCATATTGTGTGTGATTGTGTGTGTGTTAAGGTTCTAATTGGGTGCGATGGAGTGAACTCAATGGTGGCCAAGTGGTTGGGACTCCAGAATGCAGTTGATTCGAAGAGATCAGCGATTAGAGGATTCGTTGAGTATGCGCATGGGTATGAGCCAAAGATTTATGCTTTTTTTGGAGGCGGTGTGCGCTTCGGCTTTCTTCCTTGTGATGATAATGCTTTGTATTGGTTCTGCACGTACAATCAATCCGTTGCCCACTGTAAGCAAACTCATTCTAATTGCTCCACTCATCTATTTATCCCCATAACGCGCTTGCGGCTTCCTTTTTCAGCATTGATTAATTTATTGCAGTCGATGAAAGTGAGGCGCATGATCCCATCATACTCAAGAAGTTTGTGCTAAGCAAGGCTAAGGATGTGTCCGAGGAAGTGACCGACATTCTTGAGAGGACTCCACTGCACTCTATTTCCAGTTCTAAGCTAAAGCTAAGACTCCCATGGAATGTGTTGCTAGGAGACATTGCCCGTGACAACGTTTGTGTAGCCGGTGATGCCCTCCATCCGATGACACCCGATCTCGGGCAGGGTGGGTGCTCTGCCCTTGAAGACAGCATTGTACTTGCCCGGTGCCTTGCAGGCGCATTCTTGGGGAAAAGACCAATACGAGATGATGATGATGATGATGGTGATGATGATGGGTTCAAAAGGATAAAAGAGAGCCTTGAGAAATACACTAAGCAGAGGAGATGGAGAAGCTTTGTACTGATCACTGCAGCTTATTTGACTGGTTTTGTTCAGGAGAGTAATAACAGAGTGATCAGCTTCTTAAGGGAGAAGTTCTTGATTCATCATACTTTGAGAACCGTGCTTTGTATAGCAGATTTTGATTGTGGGAAACTATTGTTATGATCGAGACATTTCATGCATACATTTAATGAAACCTGTAATTACAATCACTAAATGAAAGCAAGTGAATGACTTACACGGGCCAAAACGTTTCAAGCACAGTGTGAATGTTTTCTTCTTTTACTATTATAGTGCATTAATTCTTTTCTTATTAATGTCATCTTTATGATTGTAGTTAAGGTTCTTAAAATCTGGTGACCATAGGTCGTCCTAGATGCTTTCAAATGAACATGGTCGATTGAATGAAAGGTTTAAGAAAATATTATAGAGCTAATCAATGCTAATAAAGTGTTTGGTAAAATGACTAAATCAAAACGTGTATAATGTGTTCTAGATTTGAAATGAGATGTAAGATTACATTGACACTTAAAAATTACTCCCACTATCCCGGAATTATCTTCATTCTTTCCTTTTCGGTCCGTCCCAAATTTATCTCCTTTTTCTTTTTTTGGCAAAGAATTTGTGGTTCACAACCATTCTTACACATTTCTCTTTCCTCTGCACAACTCTCCACCACACATTTCCCACTATCTTAAAACCCGTGCTCAGTCAAATAAGGAGATGATTCCGGGACGGAGGTAGTAAAAGGTTTTTTGGCTACATACTAGAAGTGTTGTTTGATTTTTGAAAAACTATCTGGGTTTAAAAATAATGTTAATTTTTGACGAATATTCCCCACGTTAGGTACCCGTGGATCTAGCGGGTCAGGGCAGGTCGAATAGTAGTGTGGTATGAGGCGGGGGTGGGGTGATTTTTTAGACAAGGGGCGGGGATGGGGAGTGAACCCCGCCCCATTGCCCCCTAGTATATACTCCGTATCAAACTAAAGTTACAATCTTCCATGCTATTATACATCGAATAGTCAATAAATGTCTTTACACATGAAAATTATTGCAAATTGACACAATAATCATCATCCACATGAACAAAATAAACAAGGGTTTTTTACAAGAATAATACTAAAATAAAACATATTTACATAAATATGACTATTTATTACTACAATGTGGTGTTGTGATAACTTAAGCTCAAAATTTGAACATCAATTACAATGATTTCATTACTACTCTAGTCACTAGTCATATTTTTGTAAATCATCTTTAGTTTGATCATATTTATGTAATTATTTCAATAAACAATACTTTATTCCAAAATATATGTACGAATCACTAACAAAATGGGTAAAACAATACTAAATCACAAACTAGCAATTCATCAACAGTGCTGCAACTTCTTAATGGCGCTGCTGCAACTCTTTGTTTCATTCAATTATTCATCAAATCGATCACTTCTGTGGAGGACTTGGACACAGTGGGCTGCTTCTTAGCCTTCCAGGAAACCAAATTAGGGTCCAAAAATACAGCAAAACATGTGGTAGACCGAGAACTATCAGGACAACCTGCCCAATCTGCATCGGAGTAAGCAACTATACAGGTTGGCCGATTAGACTGCTGAAGCCAAAGTCCATGATCTCGTGTTCCCTGCAAGTATCTGAAAATTCTTTTGACTGCAAAAAGATGAGTGGTACGAGGAGCATGCATGAACTGAGACACTAAGTGTATTGCATAAGTAATATCTGGCCGTGTCAAAGTTAAATATTGTAATGCACCAACCATGCTGCGATATTCAGTAGAATCAGATAATAACTCACCATCAGAAAGAGACAGAGTGGTACGGGAAGCTAACGGGGTGCGAACAGGTTTGACAGTATGAAGGTGAAAACGAGCTAGAAGGTCAGTAACATATTTATGTTGAGAGAGAAACAAACCTTTAGCTGAACGAATGGCCTCAACACCCAGAAAATAATGGAGATTACCCAAGTCTTTCATAGCAAAATGTTTAGATATAATTGAAATAAATTGGGTAACAGAGAATTCAGAATTGCCAGTAATAATAATATCATCCACATATAGTAATAAATAAATAATAGTATTATTCTGGCGGTATATGAACAAAGAATTGTCGGATTTGCTACAGGAAAAATTATGTTGTAGAAGAAAGCTACTAAATCTATGAAACCAGGCTCGTGGAGCTTGCTTAAGGCCATAAATGGCCTTGCGCAGACGACATATATGATTAGGAAAGTGAGGGTGAATAAAGCCACGGGGCTGCCGCATATAAACTTCTTCTGTCAGATTCCCATGTAAGAAGGCATTTTTAACATCAAGTTGTCGTATACCATACCCAAAAGAAATAGCTAGAGTAAGTACAATACGAACAGTGGTGGGTTTAACGACAGGACTAAAAGTTTCAGAGAAATCAATACCTGTCTGCTGATTAAAACCCTGTGCAACTAATCGAGCTTTATGGCGCTCTAAGGATCCATCAGAATGATATTTAGTTTTATAAATCCACTTACAACCAACAATATTTTTAGAGTTATCAAAGGGCACCAAGTCCCACGTATTATTATTAATGAGTGCATTAAATTCATCAGCCATCGCCTCACGCCATTTTAATTGTTTATTTGCCTCAGTAAAACAGATAGGATCTGCATTGATAGTAACTGTACTTAAATTAAAAATGGTTTTAGGCTTAAAAATTCCTGACTTAGCACGGGTTTGCATGGGATGGTGATTAACTACCGTAGTGGACGTAGATGAGGTGGTTTCAGGTGAGACAGTGTCGGTTGATGTTGTCTGTGGCATGCTAGACGAAGTATGGGAGGAGAGATGGGATGGTGGGGGGCTGGTTGTGGACGTGGGATAGGAGGAATGGGGCGACGGTACACACGGAGTGATAGGAATACTTGGTGACCGAGGTGGCGATGATGGGGTTGGTGCTGGTGCGGCCGTAATTGTGGGAACAGGCTGGAGAGGTGGGTCAAGAGTGATATCGGTGAGATGCATAGGAGATGGTGTAGTAGAAATAGACCTGGATGGAGCAGACGAGAGAGTTTTAAAAGGATATGTGTCCTCATGAAACCTAACATGACGGCTAACATAGACTCGACCTGTGAAAGGATCCAAACAACGATAGCCTTTATAACCGGATGCATAGCCAAGGAAAACACACTAAACTGAACGAGGTGATAATTTATTGGCTGAGGTGGCATTAAAATTTGGATAACAGGCAGAACCAAATACTCGCATAAAGGAGTAATCTGGAACTCGGTTAAACAGTTTTTGATACGGAGTAAGACCATTTAAGGTAAGAGAGGGTAATCTATTAATAATATATGCAGCAGTAAATATGGCATCGACCCAATAGTGACTCGGAACCGAAGCTTCAAGAAGCATGGTCCTAGTTAACTCAAGTAAATGACGATGCTTGCGCTCAGCAACCCCATTCTGTTGAGGTGTGTCTTGGCAAGATTTTCTAAAGTAAATGTCATTAGCAAAGAAAAATTGCTGCATATTATTATTAACAAATTCACCTCCCCCATCACTTTGAAAATTTTTAATTTTCTGATTAAAAAGATTTTCAACCAAAGCTTTAAAATTTTTAAAGTGCATGAAAACTTCATTTTTGTGACACATGAGATATATCCAAGTATAACGAGAAAAATCATCAATGAAACATACATAATACTTGAATCCCAAATTTGAATACACAGGTGATTGCCACACATCAGAATGAATAATTTCCAAAGGAAAAATAGAATTATGACTAGCATCCATAAAAGGTAAACGTTGTGATTTTCCTAAACGACAGGCCACACACTCATGAGTAAAGGGAGTATGACTACATAAAAATTGTTTTCTCTTAAGAAACTGTAAAGTACTATCACCACAGTGACCTAATCTACGGTGCCACACAGGGCCAGAAGCTAAAATGGAAGCAAAAACTAATGGTGATGCAGACGGCAGATGAAGAGGATAAAGTGGTCCACTACTAGTAGCTCGCAGAAGTATTGCCCCCGTTGCTTTGTCCTTAACCAAGAAAGAATTTTTATCAAAAATTACAGTACAATTATTATCAGCACAGAGCCTTTTAATGGAAATTAAATTATATTTTAACTGAGGCACATGATAAACGGATTTTAAAGTGAGAGGACGACCATATGTAGGTAAAGCAACATCACCAATATTACATATGGGAAGATGGGCACCATTGGCAACACTAACAGAATTATAGCCGGTGTAGGGAGATTTATTAACTAAATTACCTTCAGATGCAGTCATATGAGCAGAAGCTCCTGAATCAGGAAACCATAGAGCAGGAGTAGTGTCACCGGGAGTAGTCAACAGAGCAGGAGACGTCGGTTGTGTGAAACGAGAAGGACAGTTAATGGCAGAATGACCTGCAGAAAAACAAATTTGACAGACAACAGGATGGGGAACAGATCCGAGAATACCTCCGTCTGATGGCAAGCCTGTATGACTACTGTTAGCAACACAGATAGGTAAAGCATTAATATTTAAACGTGACACAGCAGAATTACAAATAACAGTACCCGTAGATGTTACACCCCCTGCAGGAGTACTCGGCTGCCCACCCCCTCCGGGGTAATAAACTGGATGCCCCTGGGGGAACCAATATGCCTGCTGCTGCTGTCCTCGGCCACGCCCCCTGCCTCCGCGGCCTCTGCCGCGCCCACGTCCTCGCCCGCGCTGTGGAGCGCCGTTCTGCCGAGCCTGCCCGACCGGGTAAGTCTGCTGCCCGACCGGGTGAGTGGATCCTGAATTCGGCTGGGTTGGATGCTGCCCAGACGACTGCCTGGGATATGAAACAGCCGCGCCAAACGCCTGATGAATGGATTGGGACTCCTGGGAGCGGAGATAAAGGACCCGCTGCTCTAACTCAAGAAGATGATTACGGAGAGTCTCAAACGAGAAATTTTGTCCAAATAAGGACACAGTAGTGTATAAAGATTCATACTCAGGTCCTAGACCCATAATAGTAGTTTTTAAAATTTCACGCTGAGGCACAGGGCAATTGATTGTGGCAAGATCATCAGCTAATGTTTTAATTTCTCGCAAATAATTATCCATGGACTGATCAAATTTCTTTTTAATTTGATTAAATAAACGCTTTAATTCCATAGATCTCGCTAAACTAGCAGACATAAACCGAGACTCCAACCGCTCCCAAATTTCATATGAATGTTTTAAATCACGTACATCGATAAGAACATCCCTAGATAGGGTTGCAAATAACCATGAACGGATGGTTTGATCAATTCTTAACCAAGTAGAAAATTCGGGATTGTGAGTTTGACGGTTAAGAACATCTATGGAATAAGCAGGGGGTACCTGAATGGAGCCATCAACCATGTCCAGGAGAGCTTGGGACACCAAAAACGATTCGAACTATGTACGCCAGGTAGTGTAGTCTTCCACCGCTAATAATTTGGTAGTTACAATATTTGTGACATTAGTTGCCACATGTGAGATACTCTGGGCGAGATCTGTGAGGAGTGAGCCAGTCGGGATGGCTGCTGGTGTGCGAGAGGGAGGGATGACAGAGGAGACACCAGGTGAGCCAACAAAAGTGGGACCGGCAAACGATGATCCAGCCGAGAAGGGTGGCGTGTAGAGGCCTGGGGCCGCTGGCATGGCAGATGGCTGCCACGGAATTCCCGGATGAAGAGTCGGAAACATTGAGTAGGCACCGGGAATGTCAGCGATGAAGGAAGAATAGGCTGACGAGGGAGTCACCTGCGGCGGCGCGGTCAGAGGAGCGGCGGCGCTGGTAATGACTACGACTGCGTCGGTGGCGGCTGATGTGACCGGCGCCATGGTCGAAGAAGTTGGAGCTACTGTGGAGACTTCCATGGAGGAGGAGAAGAGCCCTGCGGCGGCGGTTTGATGAGGGGCTACGGAAGCCGTGTAGCGAAAAAAAAAATTAGGGAAGAGAGAGGAAAAATTTAGGTCTCTGATACCATGTGAAATAATGGAAAAGGTTACTCCCTGAGGAGCCCTGGCAGATATATTTATATTAGAGAGAGTTTAATGTAAAGTACAATAGTGAGCCTATAATAATTCTATTAATGAACTGCTGCAATGACCGCATTTTAGTCTAATCAAACAAGTGCCAACTATATGTGACATTAATGGAACATGATCTCTCTAAGGAGTCCTGACAGATATATTTATAATAAGAGAGTTTAATGTAAAGTACAATACTAATGGTCTAATAATTCTATTACACTCCCTCAAGCTGTGCAGGAGAAACAACGCGCAGGTTGTTTTTCAAAAAATGAAAACGCTGAGTAGGTTCTTAGTAAAAATATCTGCCAACTGTAGATGTGTAGGAACATGCTAAACAATCAGATCTCCATGGGCAACACGTTCGCGAATAAAATGATAATCAATCTGGATATGTTTACTCCGAGCATGCTGGATAGGATTTGCATTCAGATAGGAAGCCGAAATATTATCACATAATAGATGCACAGGTTCCGTGATGGGGTAACCGAGCTCAAAGAGAATAGATCTGATATGGAGTCTATCCTGAACTGTGTATGCAATAGCACGGTACTCTGCCTCTGTGGATGACTTGGAGACGGTGGGCTGCTTCTTGGACTTCCAAGAAATTAAATTAGGACCCAAAAAGACAGCAAAACCAGTAGTGGACCGTGAGCTATCAGGACATCCAGCCCAGTCTGCATCGGAATAGGCAACAACACATGTGGGTCGAGTAGAATGTTGTAGCCACAACCCATGATCACGTGTCTCTTGCAAGTACCTGAAAATTCTTTTGACTGCAAGTAGATGAGTAGTACGGGGGGCATGCATGAACGGAGAAACTAAGTGTACTGCATAAGTAATATCTGGCCTTGTCAAAGTTAGATATTGTAAAGCACCTACCATGCTGCGATACTCACTAGAGTCCGTAAGTAACTCACCATCAGAAAGAGACAAAATAGTACGAGAAGCTAATGGTGTGCAAACGGGTTTAACCGTATGGAGATGAAAACGTGTTATAAGATCGGAGACATATTTGTGTTGAGAGAGAAACAGACCTTGAGGAGAACGAATTGCCTCTAGACCCAAGAAATAATGGAGATTACCAAGATCCTTCATGGCAAAATGATTAGAAATAACTGATATAAACTGGGTAATGGTGGACTCAGAATTGCCAGTAATAATAATATCATCTACATATAATAATAAATAAATGATAGAATTATTATGACGAAAAATAAATAATGAGTTCTCAGATAACTACAAGTAAAATTATGATGTAGTAAAAAACTACTAAACCTATGAAACCAAGCCCGTGGTGCTTGCTTAAGACCATAAATAGCCTTGTGCAAACGACATATGTGATTAGGAAATTGAGGGTGATTAAAACCACGTGGCTGATGCATATAGACTTCCTCTGTCAGGTGACCATGTAAAAAGGCATTTTTAACATCAAGTTGATGAATAACCCAACCAAAAGCTACAGTTAATGTAAGAACAATACGAACAGTGGTGGGTTTAATGACAGGACTAAAAGTTTCAGAAAAATCAATATCAGCCTATTGATTAAATCCCTGGGCAACTAATCTAACTTTATGGCGCTCCACGTAACCATTAGAATGGTATTTCGTTTTATAAATCCACTCACATCCAACAATATTTTTAGTATAGTTAAATGGCACCAGATCCCAAGTATGATTATTAATGAGTGCATTAAATTCATCAGTCATTGCTTCTCACCATTTTAAATGTTTATTAGCCTGAGTAAAACAGGTGGGATCTGCAGGAATAACAACTGTACTTAAATTTAAAATGGTTTTAGGTTTAAAAATGTCTGCCTTGTCACGGGTCTGCATGGGGTGGTGATTAGAGACAGTTGTGGGTGCAATGGAATTGGGTGAAGGGGAGACGGGGTCGGACTGAGAAGTGTCACGTTGGGAAGACGGAGGGGAAGATGGAGAACTAGCGACAGACTCCAAATGGAGAGAGGTTGTGGATGACCGCCTGGATGATGGCGTGGAGCTGGGCGACCGGGAGGAGGAAGGTGATGGCGAGGAGTTGGGTATTGGGGTTGTCCTAGTGACAGGTTCTAAAGAGGATGGAGGAGAGCTGTTGTTGGTCATGGCTGCAATAGAAATCGGGTGGGTGACTGGAGGTTGAGTCGTGGGTTCAGGCGAGTAACAGGTGAGGTGCATGGGAATTTGTTTTTAGGTCGGTGTAAGGGATGGTCTAGATTGCGGAAGGGTTTTAAAGGGATAAGTATCTTCATGGAACCTAGCATGACGAGTGACATAGACACGACCGGTTGAAAATAAATGCCATGATCAGAAAAAAATTGCTGCATAGTATGATTAACAAATTCACCGCCCCCATCACTTTGAAAATTTTTAATTTTCTGATTAAAAATATTTTCACCAAAGCTTTAAAATTTTTAAAATGCACAAAAACTTCACTTTTGTGATACATGGGGTAAATCCAAGTAAATCGAGAATAATCATCAATAAAACAGATATAATATTTAAACCCCAAATTAGAACGAACTGGAGATTGTCATACATCAGAATGAATAAGTTGTAAAGGAAGAGAAGAATTATAACAAGCATCCGTAAAGGGTAAACGTTGTGATTTTCCTAACCGGCAAGCAACACACTCATGAGTAAAAGGAGTATGACTACATAAAAATTGTTTTCGTTTAAGAAACTGTAAAATATTATCACCACAATGACCTAATCTACAGTGCCACACAGGGCTAGACACTAAAACAGAGGCTAACACTATGATGGAGTATATGGTCCAGGGACCCCCGGCCCATAGACTCCCACTACCATAACAAAGGCCCAATAAGCCCAAGAAACACAGCAGGTCCAAATCACAGCGCCCCAATTGCCATGCAGCCCACGACGTACACTTGGGTGCCTTTGGCCCCCATGGCCGAAGGCTCATAAACTTACGGTACAACTGCTTTTAAGCACTCGAAGTTACTGGGAGAAAATGGCGAAAACAGTAGCCCTCGGCACCTAGAGGCCCCCGGGATGAAGAGCCTTCGGCTAATCATCTACAGCCGAAGGCATCTCCTCGACAGAATCTCCCACCCACATGCGCGGGATCAACATACCAAGTACAAACGTCACATCCAACCGTCGCATTTAATGCGGCCACATGCGAGTGCCAGTGCCACCCCGTTGAGGTGACCCTTCGACCACCAGAATGATGACATGTGTCCTTATCTAGCATTTATTGCTGCTATAAATAGCACCCCTTCCCCCATTTGTAAACCACACTCAATACGCTTTAAGCAATACATCAATATACACTCTCTCTCTACTTTTGCTCTGACTTCTCTCTAAGTTACATCCGCAGTAACCCCTCGGATCGATACCCCCCGGGTACACTATCCATCACACTACGGATGAAGACTCTGGCAAACGGAGAGGATAGAGTGGCCCACTACTGGTAGCTCGCAGAAGCACCATCCCCGAGGCTTTGTTCTTAATCAAAAAAGATTTTTTATAAAAAATGACAATACATTTATTATCTGCGCAAAGCCGCATAGTAGAAATTAAATTATATTTTGACTGAGGCACATGATAAATATATTTTAAGGTGAGAGAACGACCAAAAGACGGTAATGCAACATCACCAACATGACAGATGGGTTAATGGGCACCATTAACAACACTAATAGAATTATAGCCAGTGTAAGCAGATTTATTAAGCAAAATACCTTCAGATGCAGTCATGTGGGCAGAAACTCCAGAATCAGGATACCATATAGCCGGATTAGATTCCCCCGGAGTAGTCAACAGAACAGGAGCAGAAGGCTGAGTAAAGCGTGAGGGACAGGTAACAGCAGAATGGCCTGCAGAAAAGCAAATTTGACACACAACAGGATGGGGAACAGAACCAAGAATACTCATATCTGATGGTAAGCATGCAGAACTAGAGTTAGTAACACCAACATGTAATGCATTAATATTTAAATGTGACGTGACAGAATTACAAATGATAGTACCCGTAGTTGGTACACCCCCTGGATGTGGAGCATACCCAGCTGGAACAGAGGAACCACCCCCTGCCGCGGTGTAACCTGCCTGACTCTGCTGCGGGTACCAAAACACAGGTTGCACCTGCTGTCCTCGGCCTCTGCCCCGGCCACCGCGTCCCCTGCCGCGACCACATCCACGGCCGCGTTGCGGCTGACCTGAAGGGCGTTGCTGTTGTCCGCCCGGTGAATGCGGGCCCTGCATCGGTTGGCCCGACTGGTGGCTAGCAGATTGCCCGGGAAAAGAAGCAGTGGCACCAAAAGCCTGATGAATGGATGAAATGCCTTGGGAGCGGAGATAAAGAACCCGCTACTCTTGTTCAAGAAGATGATTGCGAAGTTTCTCAAACGGGAAATTGTCAGGGAATAACAAGACAGTGGTGAACATAGATTCATACTCGAAACTCAAACCCATAATAGTAGACTTGAGCACTTCGCGATGGGGGAACATGGCAATTAATAATAGCAAGATCATCAACCAAAATTTTAATCTCCCTTAAATAATCATCTATAGATTGATCGGGTTTCTTTTTTATTTGAGGAAATAATCGCTTTAATTCCATAGATCTGGCCAAATTGGCTAACATAAATCGAGATTCTAACCGTTCCCAAATTTCACAAGAATGTTTTAAATCCCGAACATCAATAAGAAGATCACGAGAAAGAGTGGCAAATAACCATGAATGGATGGTTTGGTCAATGCGCAGCCAAGTAGAAAATTCGGGATTGGAAAATTGACGGTTAAGAACATCTATGGAATAAGCAGGAGGTACCTGAATTGAGCCATCAACCATGCCAAGGAGACCCTGCGACACAAGGAACGACTCAAATTGAGTCCGCCACGTAGTATAATCTTCCACCGCTAGAAGCTTAGTAGTCACGATGTTGGTGACATTGGTCGCCACATGTGAGATGGTCTGAGCAAGTTCAGCCAAGGGAGAATTTGAGGGGCTGCCTGCTGGTGTCCGGATAGAAGAAATTCCCGGCGACCCAAAAAAAGGTGGGGCCAGCGAACGAAGGAACCGAGAGGGGAGGCGGCTCAAGAGGAACTTGTTGTACCGAGACTGGTGCTGACCAAGGGAACATCAGCGGAAGGTGCTGAAACAGAGAATAGGGCCTGGAGGAGGGGCTCGGTGAGGCGAAGCCAGATGAGATCGTCGGCAGTGTGATGCCGGCGAAGGACGCTGCAACTGCCGCGACGGAGGAGCTGGATGTGGCGGAAGCTGTCGCCATGGGAGACGCTGCGGAAGAGGTAGGCACGGACGACATATCTCTGCGGCGGCGTTGGCGTAGAAGAAGTCGGCGGTGGCTGTGAGTTAAGCCTAGCGGCACCGAATCGTAAGAGAAGCGTAAAAAAAGGGTTTTTAGTGTGCTCTTGATACCATGTGAGAATAATGGAACATTATGCTCTCTAAGGAGCCCTGACAGATATATTTATAATAAGAGAGTTTAATGTAAAGTACAATACTAATGCTCTAATAATTCTATTACTATAAGCTACCAAGCATAATTTTTGTAACTTGTTATGCCATCTTTTATTATTCAAACAAATGGATCATTTCCGCATTAGCAAATGTGGATAATTATCCATATATGAAAATACTCGATGAAGGTTGTACTTTAAATTTTAAAAAACAGCTTGAAACCAGGTAAGAATATAAATGTTCTACATACTCATTTTGGAGAACTAAGAAAACAAATGGAAAGAGTTCCTATTGGGAAAGACAAAACAAGTTGATGTTCAGGTTATGGTGCTAAGCTGAAATGCTGAAACTACAAAGGTTATGCAAAATCATATACGAACCTGAACCTGCAACTTAATCCTCCTCCCCCCCCCCCCCCCAATGTTCCATTTCCTCCTCTTATAATTGTTATCTTGACCAATGGTACAAATCTGGCCAATTGAAATGCAGTTCTTCTTGAGAGAAGTAGCCCTCTTCTCGAAGAAGGTGGCTTGTCGCCAGTAGAACCAGAACTATTAAGCGCCATTAACAACTTAGACCTGCTGCTATTAAACAACAAATGATTTTCACTTGGGTTCCCCTCACCAAACCTATTGTACCACCAAACCCTCCACCGTTGTTTAGAAAATGAGGGGAATTTACTGTTGGAGGGTGAAATTTGGAACCCACCATCCAAAGCAAACAGAGGCTTACACATTTAATGCTAGAGCATCTCCATTCATGCTCTCTAAATAAACGATTTTTTTTGGACACATCATTGACACATCACATTTATTCAATAAATTTTAAATAATCTCAAAGTTTAAAACTCTTCATCAACAATAATACTCAAATAATCGGTTTTTTCTGGACATGCATTAAATGTAATTTAACTATAATCTAAAATAATCCGGGATTAGAATCTTGATACCGGATTTTCTTTTTCAATAATCTCACTAAATAATCTTTAAAATAATCTTACACATCATACAATTGATCTTCAAATAAACTCATGGATGAGGATGCCCTTATGATCCAGGTGTCAGTGCTTACGCTCCCATAATTCTGGAGTCTATGAACTACCCTCCAAAACCCCTAGACAGGTAAATCCGGATCCGATCACAATCAGCCTCGTCAGTACTGTCTCCAAAGGACGAATCTAGCAGGGCTTACATCACCATTCAGGCTCCTCCTCCTACCACACGAACCCGCTACCTTTATTACCATTCTCTACTTTCTCAGCCGCTGAGCAACTCTGTGAAGGTAGGAAGAATCATTGAGAGCAAGACCTCCCTCCTCTCCCCTAAATGTGCCTAGCGGGATTCGAACTCGAGACCTCCGCTAGGACACGCTAACCTCCCATCCAGTGAACCGGAATGGTTGATTTATTTTGTAAAATTTGTGCTACCTATGCTTGCGAAGAATGCATGCTCAATAGTAATGCGAAAAACAATAAGCCGGGCAGAAATAGAAAAGTGCCAAAATTTACCTTGACATTGGATCTTTGTCCATAATTTCAGGAATTGCTTCCTACAAAATATAAGAACAATAACCTGAAAAATAAAATCCAAACAATTAACAGACAAGAGGCATCATGAGTGATGCCGAAGAACATATCCTTTATTGGCAGCCTAGTTAAAGTCCTTAACATATAAACATGGCCAGCCAATCATCTTCTAGTCAGTATAAAAAGAAGAAATGATTTACTTCATCTTCTGGTCTATAAACATGGGTATAAATTAATTCATATGATAAACTAGTTGGAAAAAGTTGGTTTATTTTTGAAGACAAGCGAACAAGCAATAGAAAAGTGGACATACATGCATGTTCTTGTGCTCTCTCCACATTTGGAAGCTTATCACCTTTTTGCAATTAGTATAGTGTTGGGTGTGTATTTCAGCTCAGGTCTCCAACCTTAACAACTCACACACATCACCCAGGACTGTTTAGCCACTCCACTCACCTTATTCAAGTCAATCCCTCTTACCTTCCAAGCTCTCACTCCCAAAGAGGAAACTCTCTCAAAGGAAGAAAAAGAAACTGGACACACTCTCTCACACACCTCACTTTGCTTATCTGCACTGCACATTGTCTCACACAAGGAGGCCACAATTATAAGGAACCAAAAAGATACATTCTCAATCAAAACAACTCATTGGTAGCTTAAGACAAAAACAAGGACAGAGGACCAATGGGCCAAACTGACAAAATTGCAATGCAACGGATAAATAAGGTAGCTAAGGAGTAGAGATAAAAGATAATGGGAGTAGGGCTAAACTCAGGGTGGAGGCCTTAACATAATAAGTGGACGGAAGGCCTTGGTAGGACCAATACCTCCAACATTCTCCACCTTATTGGTCCTAGGTGGTGTAGAGTAACAAATACATGGTTGTGAGGAGACTCATCATCGTTGAACCATTACAAGTACATCATCCAGATAATACAAGTAATAGATGAGAACCAAAGTTCCCTTTCGGACCAAGCTTACGATGCAAACCCAATTCATAATGGACTGAACTCTACCAATCGGTCCTCGAGTTCAGAACCGAAACCATCACGCAACTATTAACAAACACAACGCGTGTTAATAGACCACGCAAGCAAGCAACCGGGAGAAGTTGGGGATTCCGACTAATCCAACACCCACACAAAGCAAGTACACAGAAAATAAAAGAAACAATATTATTTCTATAACTAACACAGATGGAGCTCACATAATGATTATGTATCACATTTTCAAGATGTAAAGAAAATAGCATACCAAATATCACAAATAATTTAATTAAAAGAGAATTAAGCTCATTGAAAGCAAACTCAGAGGAAATATAGTCAAACACTTTGCACTTATTATTTCTCTCATGCTCCCTAATGTCTCTATCTCTAATAACATGGCAATCACGCAACTCAAGCATTATACACATAACATTCATATCATGCTCCACCTTAACACAAATATTATTTTCTTTATTTTCAACTTGAAAAACATTTTCATTCACAAATTTGAGTTCGGTTTCAACAAGTAAATCAGAATGAACTTCAATAGGCAAATGCTCCACCTCATTTGGAGCAACATCAGGAGAAACAAGCAAGCAAGGAAATTTATTTTCAACAAAAATGACATTTCTACTTAGCAACACATTAAAGCATATTTCACTCCTACACCAAAGCCTATAACCTTTCATGCATTCATTATATCTTAAGAAAACAAACTCCTTAGTCCTAGGTTCAGATTCACCATTCTCATGATTCACATAAGCATCACAACCAAACACTCTCAAATTTGGCAAGTCAAGTGGTTCGCCCCGTGAACTCAAATTCAGGGCATTTCCCTCCTAAGGAAACAGTCGGGGTCATATTAATCAAATAAGCAGCATAACAAATAGCTTCCCCCCTGAACTTTTTAGAGAGCCCACATGATGCTAACATAGCCCTCACGCTCTCTAAAAGAGTTCTAACCATCCTCTCAGCAACCCCATCCTGTTGGGGTGTGGAGGGAACAAATTTATGCATAGAAATACTCCAAGTATCACATAAATCAGCAAGCTGATCATCATAAAAATCAAAACTGACATTTGTCCTTAAACACATTATTTTCTTACCGGTTTGATTTTCAACAAGGGTTTTCCAGTTTTTAAACTTATCAAAAACATCAGATTTATTTTCAATCAACAAAACCCACACTTTCTTTGAAAAATCATCGATCAACGTTAGAAAATAATTTTTCCCACCATGAGTGAAAACACTATAAGGACCCCACAAATCAACATGAATACAATCATGCACATCAGTACACTTAGGCAAATCAAGAAAACTAACTCTAGATTATTTTCCTAGTACACAAGGTTGCACACAATTTAGGGGTGGGTTCGGTTCTTGCGGTTTGGTTTTGACCTAAAACCAAATATAGAATCAAAGTAAAAAGTTCGGTTCGGTTTCGGTTCGGTTCTACACTCCAAAACTTGGAACCACGGTTTGATTGGTTTGGTTCGTTTCGATTCAGTTTCGGTTTTTTAGATTTTTTACCAAAAAAATATCATTTGATTTAAAAATGATATAATACTTTGAGGGATCAAACATATATTACATAATGAATGCAAGCACTCTACAACAAATAAAAGAAAAATGAAAATAAATAAATATGTCATGAAATATATGAGTATGCGAGAGAGATAAAAGTATATATTATTAATTTACATTGTTTGTGACTAGTTCAAAAAAAGTTCATGAGTATATACGTTATATGTGATATAGTTGAGATAAATATTTATTGTTTCATCAATACGAATTCTTTTAGTTAAATAAAAATAAAAGTTAATTAATACTAATAACAAGTAAAAACATATTATCAGTATAGCTATATTATTACATGTAATGAATGTGTAAATGAATTCACAAACTAAACTAAACATAACAAACATTTTTTCTCTAGCACAAAAAACCAAAAACTATTAATGATATTAGGATTAGTTAGGATTAATGCTTAACAATGGACAAATAAATTTTACTCCGTATATTTTAACTAGTTCGGTTTGTTCGGTTCGATTCGGTTTTGAAGGGTAAAAACCAAAGCCGAACCAAACAACTACGGTTCGGTTCGGTTTTTTACATTTGGTTTCGGTTTGTTAGCGGTTCGGTTTTATCTGGCTACGGTTCGGTATGATTTGATTCGATTTTCGGTTTTCAATTTTTCGGACCCAGCCCTAACACAATTCACAGAATCAAGAAGAGGTTCAGCATGACAAACATACAAGTTGTTTTTCATCTCAGCTTTGAAAACAACTAAACAACCCTTCACAACTTTCATGATTCTGTTTCCCCATTTTCCTTTCAAACCATCATTTTCAAGAGAAGCACAAGATATCAAATTACAGCACAACTCACGAACATGCCTAACATTCTTCAAAGTAAGCACACAACCAGAAGAAAACCTGAGGCATACATCTCCTATTCCTAGCACATTGCATTTCTTCTCATTTGCCAAAGACACAAAGCCATGCTCAAACTCACTATAGTTTGAGAAAATATTTTTCAGAGGGGACATATGAAAACTACAACCAGAATCTACCACCCAATCTGATTTACCCAAAGAATCAGATATCACAAAACTCAAATAGTCATAATCACATAGATTTCTCATCATAAAAACATCACCTAAATCATCTTCACAAGTAGTCAAATTAGTATGCTCACTAAGCTTATTTTCCCTAGATTTAGGACAGTCTCTTATGAAATGACCAGGTTCATGACAATAATAGCAACGCCCTCGAATTAGACCTAGACTTAGATCTATGTCGCCTAATATTTTCTCTACCCCTCACATGCATAACCTCCTCGGATTTTCTACCCTCACCCATCTGTTTTAAATCTAATTTCTTACTCTTAAGACCATTAACCACAATGTCAAGAGTCACATTATCTCTACCATACTTAATAGCAGATTTCACATCACTAAAGGAATCGGGAATAGCATTTAAAAGAGAGATGGGGGGATAATCATATATATGCTTATCACCACACAACTTAATATCAGAAATAAGTTTGGTAAAAACATCTAGATTTTCCTCAATATTCTTAGACATATCCGGTCTAAATTTGAAGAACTTCTCAAGTAAAAACATCCGACTAGGCAAAGAGGTTTCAGTATACAGTTCATCTAATTTATTC